CCCCAAAACCCCAAAACCCCAAAACCCCAAAACCCCAAAACCCCGATGATTTAATAAATTATTGAATTTAGACATAAGTTATTAAGCTATGAGCGATAAAATAGATAATTCCTCAAGCCACAGCAACCATTTGAGTGGTAAGAAGAGGAAAGCCTCTGATGGCAATGGGTCTAATGGGTATAAGAAGAGGAAAATTTCGAATGAAGATGAGGAAGAATCCATTATCACAAACACAAAAGATTCCATAAAGATGTCTGGAAGATATAATTATGAAGAAGATGATGAAGACAGCAATATCAAATGGAAGACCCTTGAACATCACGGAGTGAGATTTCCTCCCTTCTACACTCCTCATGGGGTAGCTCCTTTGCATAAAGGGAAGCCACTGATACTGAACCCTGTTCAAGAGGAGATAGCAACATTTTGGGCTCAAGCTCTAGGCACAGATTTTACCGAAAAGGAGACAGTCAGAAATAATTTTGAAGAAGAGTTCCTAGCTGTTCTTGACAAAGAAATGGGAGTCAAGAGCCTCAACAATATCGACTTCGATCCTATAGTTAAGCATATTGAGAAAACTAGAGAGGAAAGAAATAATAGGCCAAGAGAAGAGAAAAAGAGGGAAAGAGAAGAAAATGCTAAACTTGATGCTCACTTTAGATATTGAATCATTGATGGTGAAAAAGAAAGAGTTAATACTGTCATGGTTGAACCTCCTGGTATTTTTAGAGGAAGAGGAGAGCATCCTCATGCTGGAAAGCTTAAGTCCCGGATTTTACCTGAAAATGTCACAGTCAATGTTGGCCTTGATAATATGATCCCAAAATGTGATGTACCTGGGCATGCTTGGAAGGCAGTTGTGAATAATCCTGAAGCTACCTGGCTTGGACAATTTAAAGATGAAGGTAGAGAGAAAGCTGGAACCAAATATCTTTTCTTGGCACCTGATTCTAAAATCAAATCGAAGAATGACATTATGAAATATGGAAAAGCTAAGAAGCTCAAAGAAAACATTGAGAAAATTAGAGCTGATTATATGCGAAGAATGGCTAGCAAGAGCATGCAAGAAGCCCAGCTTGGAACTGCAACATATCTAATTGATAAACTTGCTCTCAGAGTTGGAAATGAAAAGAGTGAAGATGAGGCTGATACAGTTGGATGCTGCAGTCTCAGAGTAGAGCATATTACAATTGAAAAGGACAATAAAATAACACTCGATTTCTTAGGTAAAGATTCTATGAGGTTTCATCAAACCATTGAAGTCCACCCACTAGCTCATAAAGCAATTGAAAGATTCGTTAAAGATAAAAAGCCTGAGGAGGATCTATTCCATCTGATAAATGCTTCAAGACTAAATGAATATCTAAAGGAATTAATGCCACAGTTATCAGCAAAGGTATTCAGAACATACAACGCATCAATTACCCTCCAGAATGAACTGTCCAAGTACGAAGAGAAGCCTAGAGATGACGTTGATAAGAAGGTAAAATTCTATAAGAACGCAAACAGAGAAGTGGCTATCTTATGTAACCATCAAAAAGCAGTCCCCAAGAACTTTGATGAACAGCTTAAGAGACTTGAAGATAAACTAAAGGAGAAGAAAAAGAAACTCAAAGAGCTTCAAACTCATAAAAAAAATTTAGCTAAGGATAGTAGTATTTCGAAACCTAAGATGCCAAAGACTGCTAATGCTTGAGATACTGCCATCAAGAAGGCTAAGAAAGCAATGGAGACCGAAGAATATAAGGTATCTGAGAAGATAGAAAATAAGAATATTGCTCTATCAACCTCCAAGATTAACTACATGGATCCCAGAATTTCAGTGACGTGGTGCAAGAACAATGAAGTCCCTATCGAAAAGGTCTTCGAAAAGACTCTTAGAATGAAGTTTGCATGGGTAATGTCAGAAGATCTCGAATGGAAGTTCTAGACTAATCTTCAACATAAGATTCCATACAGGGGTTTTGGGGTTTTGGGGTTTTGGGGTTTTGGGGTTTTGGGG